ACTCTGAGTTTCTGGAAGGAATGAAGTGTGTCCTACCATTAATTCATACATTCACTTAGCAGCTGATTTACTTGTTTATTTTTGGCTGCGCCACTCTGCTTGCGGGATCTTACTTCCCTGACCAGGGATCGAACCCGGGCCCCCTGTAGTGGAATTGCAGAGCCCTAATCACTGGGCCGCCAGGGAATTCCCTAGTAGTTATTTATTGACCACTGTGATGTTCCTGGCACTGTGGCGGATACTGGGGTGAACTGGAGACACAGCCAGGGCCTGGCCCCCAGGTAGCGACATCAGACTGCTGGTGAGCTGTCCACAGTGAAGGCCCAGCCCAGACAGGACATGTGTCTGCAAGCCCTGCTTTCCAAACCTAGGCCCACCAATGTTCCACATCCGCCTCCTCTTCTTTCCCAGGATCAGGCCTATCTCACTGACTCCCAACTTTAAAACCCCTGCCAGGCCTGACTCGCCTCACCTCGTGTAGTCATGATGAGGGTGTGATCTTCCCGCCCGTAGCGGCCAAAGCAAAGGCTGGTCACTGCATCCTACGGTGGCGATGTCAGAGTTTAGCTGGGAAAATGACTCAGTGAGGAGAGCAAGTCTCAGGGGAGGGGGATAAGGCTTGGAGACCCCAGATATGATGTAAGAGGTGCGATGTGAGGCGAGGCCTGGAGCCACGCTGCCTCTAATCCCAGCCCCCTCCTCACTGCCACGGCCACAGTTCCAGACTGAACATCACTGGCTTTGGGGTCAGCTTTCGAAGAGGTCTCCCAGCCTAGTCTTCCTCCCCAGTGTCTTTCACACTGCTGCCTCTGCTGCCTTTCAAAAATACAAATATGACCACACCTATTCCCTGCTGAAAAACCTCCAGTGGCTTTTGCCCTCCTTGTCAGGACATTCAAGGCCTTCTGCATCTGACACCAACCTGCCTTTCCTATCAGTTCTCTCCCTGCCCTTTCCCCAACCCACATACCACACTGCCTGCCCTCCCAGCAGCCTGTGGTCCAAACCAGCGGCTTTCCAATTTTACATTGTGACATACAACACTTTATACATACAGGTACACAAAGTTTCACATGTGATATATTCTGAACTTTTTTTTGGTCCTGTTACTGGCCTATTAAATTGATTTTGTTTGAAAAAGTCTGGTCCAGATTCATCAAACTACCTGGACTCCTTTAAAGAACACTCATGCCTCTCAGCCTTTGTTCATGTTATTTCCAGTCTGCAATATTCTATCTCCATTTATCCACTCCATTTATCGAAGCACACTGCTTCGAGGCCCAGCTGAATTGTGATTTGCCCTGTGAAATGGCTCCTGAGTTCCGTCCCCATTTACCCTTCACCACCACCCCCAGTCACTAGGCTGCCTCTGTGCTTTTTCAGTGCTTTGCTCTGCTTTAGTCTGCCTTGTATTTGAATCGGCTGTGTCTCTAGCTGGCTATCACTTCAGACTGTAAGTTCCCCGACAGTAAGGATTCAGTCACTGATTTACCCTTCTAATACAGTGAGTTGTGCATATGGGATGCTCAATGAATGTTTTCAAAATGCATCAGAAGTTAAGGGTGGCAGGTGGAGTGGGGTCAGGAGAGGCAGCGAAGGGGCCCCACAGGTGGGAGCGGGGCAAGGAGGAGGCAGCAGCTCACTGGCGTGTGGACGATGCTGAGCAGGGCCTTGTCACGGTAGATGCGGACCTCTCCGTTGGCCAGTCCGGCCATGACGGCCTGCAGGCCCCGGGAGCGCTGCTCCAGGAGGTTCATGGTCAGGATGGCCGCGGGCATCTGCACTGTCCACAGCCTCTTACCCTGCGGGGGGTGGGGTGGGGGACAGCTAAGTGTCTGCAGGGGGCTCAGGGCTTAAGAGTGGAAAGAAGGGGTGGCTGGAGTTGCTGGGAAGGGAAGGCCGGAAGGGCTCGCCTGCTGAGGGGGACTAAGGAGGCACGGGTGGAGGGGCTGGGGCTGGTGCTTGCCCAGAGGCCACACCTTGTGGGTGAAGCCATGCAGGCTGTCTTGGTTGCTGCCCACCACCAGGACCTTGTGAACCCGGACAAGCCCCACAGGCTGGGCACTCAGCTCGATGCAGTACTTGGGGCGCTTGGAGTCTCTGTGGAATAAAGACACACTCTCCCAGCCCCAGAGGAACCCTCTCTCCTTCCCCGGCTGACCCTCCTCTTTCCAAGCCCCACAGACTATCCTGGCAGCAACCTCGGCCCACAAGCAGATGACTGCGCTATTAGTTCCACCTCTGTGACTTAGTAGCTGCATGACCTTGGATAACAGGAAGTGTGTCTTCCCTCCTAGTCTTCCTCTTAACTTTACCACAGTAATTTGTGTGATAACCTGGCACTTACCAGTTTACAGTGAGCACACTGCAGGTTAGACAAAGTAATGGACCGATGCAGTTTAGTAATTTATCAGAAAAGCATGAGGAGTTTACTCTGTGTAAACGCACTGTTCTCAGTTTCCTGGCCTCTGAGTCTTAATTTCTCTTATCCAGAAAGTAGGGATAATTCCTGTCTGTCCATCACAGGCTCTAGTCCACCTTTCTTAAGTCTGAGCCAGAGTCATCTCCCACCTGATGACTCGTCTGAGAGCTTCTCCACGGGTCTCTGGGACTCCTTCCAATCTACTCTCCACCCAGCACGGTAATCTCTAAGAACTGTAAACGGGTCATGTCATTCTTCTGAGTAAAACCCCATAATAGTTTTCTACTGCACTTCGGATAAAATCCAAAATCTTTACCATGTCCCACCAGGTCCTGCATGAGCCGACCCTGGTCTCTACGTCATGTCTTGCCACCAAGCTTGAGTGGCACAAGACAATGTCTTTCCCACCTCGAGTTCGCTTAAATTTCCTCTGCCTGTAACACTCTTGCTTCACTTTTGCGGAGCACAGGCTCTGGACGTGCAGGCTCGGCGGCCATGGCTCACGGGCCCAGCCGCTCCGCGGCACGTGGGATCCTCCTGGACCGGGGCACGAACCCGCATCCCCTGCATCAGCAGGAGGACTCTAAACCGCTGTGCCACCAGGGAAGCCCTTGCTTCACTTTTTGAACAACTGGCTCCTTCTTAACCTTCAAGTCATCTCCCCAGACAGGCATTCGCTGATCACCCTGACCCCATTATTTTTTCCCATTGAGCCTATATTTTTCCTCCATAGCATGCATCCAGTTTGCAATATTATCTTGGTTTGTTGACTTTAATATCTATCTTCCCACAAGGGCAGGGACGTTGTTAATGTTTTGTTCATCAATATATCCCCAATACCTTATACAATGCTTAATACGTAGTAGGTGCTCAAAAACATTTCTTGAATTAAAAAAAATGACTGTTGAGAAATATCAAACTAATGCATAAGGAAATTTCACATACCTATAAAAGCAACAGAACAAATATGAGAGACTATTTTCATTTCTTCTAATATCTGATTGCATCACTCGTGTTACGGCCACCTGGCCCAGTCTCTCACTTTGCCAGGCCCCATCAGACAAGCCTCCACATGTCCCCTGTGCTCAAGGGCTCTGCCTCCTATATGAAGTTCTCAGCTCTTTCCATTCTCACATTCCAGCCCCAAAGCCCCCTGCTCATCTTACAAGCCCTCGAGACCACCAGGTTTCTGAGATGTTCCTCTGGCCCCAGAGACCACGGATGTGGCTACCTTCTCAGCATATAGATGTTCCCGTTGCGGCAGGCAGCAGCAAGACGGAACTCCACATCGAACTGGCCAGAAACCTCCAGGAAGACAGGGACGCTGGGTAGGCTCATCTGCAAAGAAGAGACTCAAACATCCCGATTTCCCTGGAGCCCCAGCCCTTCCCTGACCTGAAGTAATTCCTCCAAGTCCCAATCTCCTCACTCACACCCTGCTGGTCACAGTTTAAACTTGTACAATTTTTCTGGAAGGAAACTCGGCAACATGTAGCCCTTTGACTAAACTAGGCCACTTCTAGGAATGCATCGTAAGGAAGCATTTAGATAAGCACGCAAAGATGTTTGGGCAAGGAAGCCCACTGAGGTGGTGTTAATAATAGCAAAAAACTGCAAACAAATGTACAATAGGTGACGGGGTACATCTATATAACCGATGTTGTGTGGCCTTTGCAAAGGCTGATGTGGTTTTATATAGATATGGAAAGATACTGATAAGCTTCTGCTACATGAAAACAGTAGTTTACATGATCCTATACCACGAGGCCATATTTGTAAAAAAGAAAAAAATTATGTAAAGTTATATATCTGTGTCTAAATATGAAAATGTCTGGAAAGACTTATGCCAAAGACTTATCTGCGGGTGGTGGGATTTGGGGATATATATCTTTTTCTTTTCTTCTTTTTTTTTTTTTGTGGCCCCATCACATGGCATGTGGGATCTTAGTTCCCCGACCAGGGCTTGAACCCGTGCCCCCTGCAGTGGAAGCGCAGAGTCTTAACCACTGGACCGCCAGGCAAGTCCCTATATCTCTTTCTTTACACTCATCTACGTTTTATAATTTTCTACAATGAACACATATTACCAAGAACTAACTGGGGGGCAGGAGATATTGGGGAACAGGGGAGGGAATGGAGCCTGGGCCACGGGCGTGCCCACGGCCAGGCCCCACACTGACCTTGGCCAAAACAGTGAAGGCCTCTGGGTCCAGCACCAGGAGCTCCTTGTTCTCAGTGCCCAGCACCAGGCAGGACACAGCGTCCTCGTCAGCCAGGTTCTTCTTTAAGGTGGTCATGGTGGTGATGACTGTCTGCAGAGGGGCTCCAGGGGTCACCCAGTAGCTCCCCTCACACCATCCCCCCAGAGACTCCCAGGACGCCCCAGGAAGAAAGAGGGCAAAGGAGGAGGAAGAGTATCAGAGATGTGACAGAAGATTTATGTACAAAGGTGTTTACTGCAACAAACCTAACTTTCTAACAAAAGAGGATTGTCTAAGTCAATTATAAACTATCTATATGATAAAAAACCCATGCAGTCATTTACAAAAATCACACTTTACAAGAAGACTCAGTGACAGGGAGGATGCTTCTAACATATTAAGAGAAAACACAGGTAAAAAGTTATGTTAGTATTATCCCAGTTTTTAAAAAAATGTGAATAAAAATACATGCTGGAAAGCTAAACCCTTAAATACAAACACTGGTTATCTCTGGACAGTGAGATCATAGGTGATGTTTAATTTCTTCATTGTGCTTTCCTACAGTTTCTACAGTGGGCATATGTTCTTTCTCTAATTGTGACTGGAGAGAAAACAAAAGAGAAGGGTACGATCCCTTTTTTAGGAATTTCTCTATGGAAATAATTTAGTGGGACTAAAATGTTTCTTTGGATAAAGCTGTTCATTGTGTGACTATCTTTAAGATTAAAAAAAAAAGGAATGATCCTCAATGCCTAGTGGAAGGAGAAAAGTTATAGAAACATGGATGCTAGTGGCTCCCAATCATGTAACCATGGCACATAACTTGGAACGATGGCCTCCCCAAAACTGCATCTTTTAAGCAATACTTACTTAATTCACTTCCTGATTTTAAAAGTACTCAATGATAGTGACACCTGTGGACCTCAGCTGCTGCTCGGCAGGAGAGAACAATGTTTCTCACAGAATTGTCTAAGGCTAGCCAAATGCTGAGGTATGTGTTGGTCAGTGTGTTCGGCTCACGTGGCCTCTACAGGAAGTAGCCGGTTCCCCTGCGGCTTTCTGAAATGCAGGGACAGCTATGGGAGCCCATCCCTGGGCTAGGGTCAGGAACCCCTAGGTCAGGAACCACTGGAGTTCATCAACGAATGGGATCATCAATAAAGCCATTAAAAGCATAACTAAGAAAAATATGAAATGCATAAAAAGGAGACATTTCTTCTCCGATGACCTGCATGTGAATAGTTACATAAACAATGAATGAATAATCAATGAAATAATCAAGGGGCCACTTGATTAAAAATGGAGTTCTTCAAGACTAATGCTCAAGATATAATGTTATGTACTCAAGGGAAGCAGGATATAAAAGCATATTTATAAAGGAAATGTACCAAAATGGTAAGAGTATCTCTGAGTAGTGAGTGTAGTCACTTATATTTCTCCTTTATATTTCTCTTTATTTTCAAAGTTTTCTCTAATGAAAATATATTACCTTTACCCCCAAGATGATAAAAGTTATATAAAGCTACATAACTATATATCAATTCAAAGCTGTCACTGTGCGGCTTCCCTGGTGGCGCAGTGGTTAGGAATCCTCCTGCCAGTGCAGGGGACATAGGTTCAAAGCCCTGGTCCGGGAAGATCCCACGTGCCGTGGAGCAACTACTGAGCCCGTGTGCTACAACTACTGAGCCCGCGCGCCTAGAGCCCGTGCTCCGCAACAAGAGAAGCCACCGCAATGAGAAGCCTGTGCACCGCAACGAAGAGTAGCCCCCGCTCACTGCAACTAGAGAAAGCCCACGTGCAGCAACAAAAACCCAATGCAGCAAAAATTTTTTTAAATGAAAATAAATAAATAAATTTATTAAAAAAAAAAGCTGTCACTGTTAACTGGAAAGTAGAAGCCCTGCAGCTTTGTGACTATATATGTGGAAGGGTAACTGCAAAGTAAAACTAGTCGCATTTGGCTGTAGAATTTACCACTAATGTTACATGGTCTTTTTAAAAAACTGTCCATATTTTTTCTAGGGAAATAAGAAGAGAGGGGCAGTACCTGCCGCCTGATGGACTTGGACTTGTGCTGGTTCACAAATGCCTCCATTTCACTCAGCTCCAGCTGCAGAAACCTGGACACACAGAGCACTGACACCTGCATGCCTTGGGCCTGGCTGTCCTCCCCAGGCCACTCCAGGGCCGCTCCCTCCCCGCTGGGAGCTTCTGGAGCCCTGGCCCTCCAGAGGGCCCTTACCTGAGTGACTGTACAGACAAAGGCACCTCTGCCTTCTCCCTGTAAGGAGAGGGACCATCATGGGAGGTTTAGTTAAGGAACAGGGCCTGGGGCTCAGACTGTGGGCTCTGGGATGAAGGCGTAGGGGTGGGGGAATGAGGGAGGGGTAGGAGGCATACGAAGGGGGAAGTGGGATCTCACCGGATGCCCTCCAGCATTTCCTTCAGGGTCAGGGGGTCAATCCGGTCCTGTGCCAGCATGGGAAGAAGGTACAGCCTGTGAGCACCAGAGCCAGGCAGGGAACGAGGACAACCCCAAGGCTGCCACCTTCGCCTTCTTGTTCTCATCCCGCACATCACTCACCTCTTTGGCCTGGTTCCAAAGGTCCTGTTCCAGGGGGTTTGGAGGCAACTGGGGCAGGCTGAACTTGAAGTAGGGCCTGAGATTCTTATACACATACACACAAGGGCCTGACGCGAGTGCCAGCGCTGGTGTCCGGGGTTCGTGTTGCTCCATGAGGAAGGTGGCAGCAGCGGCTGGCAGGGCAGGTAGCGGGCTTTCGCTCAGCACTGTGGGCCCTTTAAGCACCTTCAGGCAGGGCTGCTGCCCACCTGGGCCAAGGTCCCCCACCACCAGCTGTAGAGAGAGGCTGGCTGATTCCTGGCTCAGGGTCTAAAGACCACCCCCCCTACTGCCCCTCTTCTTGGGCTTAGCTTTTTTCTGGTGCACATTCATATACACTCACAATGCACCATGGGTGGGTGGGGGGAAAGGCAAAGGCTTTGCAAGAAGGCTTGTAAGCTGTATGACCTTGGGAAAACTGATGCAACTTCCTGAGCCACAGTTTTCCCACATACAAAAGGGGAATACCTACCATATGACACTTGTAGTGAAAATCAAATGAGATAATCAACTAGAGAACCTAGCGAGGAATAGGTGGCAGCTGATGTTTTCATTGTTTGTTCAGTAAACATTTCTTCAGGGCCTGCTCCATGCCAGGCATTGTTCTAGACACTGGAACAGTTGCTGAGGTCAGTGGGGGGCCTGAAACTCGTATCTGGGCTCTGAGGCCTGGCTTCCAAACGGGAACAGAGCTAAAGATGCAGAACCAATCATGCAGAGCAGGATGTGCTCTATGGACCCAGAGAGGAGAACCAAGCTCCTCAGCCTGTCTTTTCCACCCTCCAAGCCACTGTAGCTGTCATGCAAACCCATTCTCCTGAGTGAGGCCTTCAAGGCCCCTCTGATCTGGTTCCCAACTTGTTTTCTAACACCCCCCCCCCCCATCCATGCTATGCTCCAGCCAGAATGCGGGCTGCCACAGAATGCCCGGATTCTGAGCATGTACAGTGCGCTAGGAGCCACACCAGTAACTTCATGCATCCTTTCATTTAATCCTAGCAACAACCTGTGAGGTAGGTACGATTATTAGCCTCATTTCACAAATGAGGAAGCTGTGGCTTAGAGATGTTAGGTAAAAGTCACCCGGCTAGTAAGTGGTAGAGCTAGGACCTGAACCTAGGTCTGTCTGGATCCAAAGCTGGTGGTCTTAACTATTATTTCATATTGGCCTCAACTTTCTTATTTCAAATTTGCTCTTTCCAAATATGCTGTGAACTTCCAAGCCTCTCTGCCTCTGCTTGTGCTGTTCCCTCTGCCTGGAGTGCCCTCCTCTCTTCCATGCCTTCTTGGGACACTTCATTCATCCTTCAGCACCAGCTCATGTTACTGCCCTCTAGTGCCTCCTGACAGATTCACTGTTCTTTCATTGGTGCTCCTGTAATACTTTCCATATACTCTATTTTAGCATCCACTCATCTACCCCCAAAATATGTATCAATTATCTAATTTGTGCCAGGCACTGGGTTAGATGTTTGGAATCGACAATAAGCAAACTAGCCATTGAAAAAGTTATTACACAAAAGCATTACCATTTCACATTAGTTATTGGGTCTGTGATTTCTCTACCCTTCACTGCTGTCAGCCCAGCGCCAAGCATACACTAGGTGTTCAGTCAACATCATGGATGAATTAAGGGCATTGTCTATATCTCCTTCTGACTATGGACTGACTCATTTCTGAGTTTAGTGCGTGCACAACACCTGACACACAGAAGGGGTTCACTGTATGCTTGCCGAATTGTTGAATGATTTATGGATAGGAATTTGGGGGCCAAAGTCACCAAATCCAACTGCACAGTCCATGTAGGGTATGACTCCCTTCAAGCTGCCCACATTACACACTCATTGTGGGTTCACTGCCCTTGCTGAGGGCTGAGCTGACAGACCCAGGTCTGCCACCTTTTACAAACTCGGTAAACTCAGCCTCTCAGAATCTATTTTCCCACTAATAAATAATATCTATGTACGTGAAACTGCCTCAAAGAGATTCTACTCCAGACATGTTAACTTCCTTTATTTAGCCCAATATATATCTCAACCTTTTAAAAACCTGTGCCTTCAAAATTTTTTATCTATTTTTCTTCTTTTTTTTCTTTTTTTTTTTTTTTGCGGTACACGGGCCTCTCACTGTTGTGGCCTCTCCCGTTGCGGAGCACAGGCTCCGGACGCGCAGGCTCAGCGGCCATGGCTCACGAGCCCAGCTGCGCCACCAGGGAAGCCCTATTTTTCTTCTTTTTAAAATATTTTCTTGACTACCCTGTGTGGCACGTGGGATCTTAGTTCCCCAACCAGGGGTCGAACCCACGCACCTTGCATTGAAGTGTGGACTCTTAACCACTGGACTGCCAGGGAAGTCCCCCAATTTTTTATTTCTTTATTTCCATTTCATTTACTTACTTTTATATTTTAAATTAAATTTAAAATTTAACCTTTTTATTATGGAAAATTTTCAGTCATATACAAAAGCAGAGAGACTCATATAATGAACCCCCAAATACCCATCATCCAGCTTCAACAACGATTAGCTCATGGCTAATCTTAAAATCTATGCCCTTTTCTTAAAAAAAAAAAAAAAAAAAAAAAAAATTATTTATTTGGCTGCACTGGGGTCTTAGTTATGGCATGTGGGATCTTTAGTTGAGGCATGTGGGATCTAGTTCCCTGACCAGGGATCACACCCGGGCCCCCTGCATTGGGAGCATGGAGTCTTAACCACTGGACCACCAGGGAAGGCCCTATGCCCCCTTTTCTTTTTCTTTTTATGCTGTACGCGGGCCTCTCACTGTTGTGGCCTCTTCGGTCCTTTTGATAAACATAAAACTCTCACTCTCCTCCCTTCTACTTTCCCTCCAGAGTAACGCCCCACCCCCAACCAAGGGATGTGCCCTTCCAGTAAAGAATTACTTCAAGTTAACAAAATTAAGAGGCTTTATCTTAGTATAATTTCCGGCAGCATTTTGCTTTGCTTTACTTTCTGCAGTCTGTACTGTGAAATCAACAGGTTCTCTTCACTTTCCACATTAAAAATAAAATTTAACCCTAAATGTGCTTTTTCAAAGTACACGTGAATTCCAGATTATGCTGAGCTTCTTTGGAGCCATCGGGAAGTCTCACCTCTGAGGTGATATGCTTACCTTGTACTCCCCGTCCCCATGCAAATCTGCCAGCTCTGGAAAATATAAAACAGCCATAAGCCAGGGTCTCAGAATTATAGAGGCTTCCCTACAGAACCATCTGACTCCTCCGTCCCCCAAGAACCGGGGTTCCTGGTCCCAGAGACTCACGCAGGCAGGCGGAAAAGGTGTGGATGTTGGCCATGGGGTCGTAGTGTGCATCCAGCCATTTCGAACTGGCTTCACTGCTGCGAGAAGAGGGAAAG